GTGTGAGCCACTGCACCCAGCCCTTCCATCCCTTTCACAGCCTCTTGAATAATTTTCACCCACCTTCATTTCTTTTTTGTTAAAAAAAATCATACTTTTCATCTATTTCTTTAAGGTCTCATCTGATCATGTGTTATGTTTATTTGCCCTGTGTTTCTTCTAGCTTAGTCTTCAATTTTGAAATGATTATTTTCTTTTACTTATTTTTTATTTTTTGAGATAGAGTCTCCATCACCCAGGCTGGAATGCAGTGGTATGATCTTAGCTCACTGCAACCTCTGCCTGCCAGGTTCAAGTGATTCTCCTGCCTCAACCTCCTGAGTAGCTGGGATTACAGGCCCCCGCCACCTCACCTGGCTAATTTTATATTTTTAGTAGAGGCAGGGTTTCACCATGTTGGTCAGGCTGGTCTCAAACTCCTGACCTCAAGTGATCCACCCACCTAGACCTCACAAAGTGCTGAGATTACAAGTGTGAGCCACTGCACCTGGCCTTCTTTTACTTTTAATTCTTCCCTGAGTTTTGTCATCTAATTTGAGTTGTTTATATTGACTTTTAATGTATTCTTCTACATTGTTTTCTTTTTCATATCATGTAACTTTATTAATATACTTCAGCTAGTTTTGAAATATTAGGTTATAGTTTCAATCTATTTTGTGGATATAATGTTCTGTTTTAGTTCTGTAAGAATATTATTCTGTGGCTCCTTTTTATTTTATAATTTTAAGCATTTTTTATTTTTTAAAAAAATTGTGGTTTTTTGTAGAGGTGGAGTTTCATAATGTTTCCCAGGCTGGTCTCAAACTCCTGGGCTCAAGCAATCGTCCTGCCGTGGCCTCCCGAAGGGCTGGGATTACAGGCATGAACAACCAGGCCTGGCCTCTGTTGCTTATTTTTACATGAAATTAGTTTCCTGAACTTTTAGAAGGAGGCTCGATTGAGACAAGTTTGTTTTTCCTAATGTTATGACTCTAGAGTTCCATCCTCTATCATTTTTGAGAATTATAGTGAATTACATTCCGAAATCTCCTGGCCCTTTCTGTCTACCTTTTCTGCTTTTATCTAGGCTTTCTTTTTTGTCTCTCTCATTCCTGTCTTGGCCAATTTGTAATCCAGTCTCAATGGTTTTTCCTCAGAGTGCAGCTTTGCTCTGGAAGGGATTAGGGATTCGTTTTGAGAGTTTCTGGAGGCCCAGGCTGCTTTCAGTCTAGACCATGGACTCCTTGCACTCAATCACTGCTTGAAGATGTAAAACCCTCCCTTTCTCAGTTGTTTATAAATTTGCTTGCTGAAGTTTGAGTTATTTTACAGTTCTCAGATCTATAGGATGTCATGTTGAGTCTGTTTATGTGCTCTTCCATAGCTAATGCCATTTTGGTCTTGTAACTATCTCTAATTTGTCTGCACTCACTCACTCTTTGAGGTTCCTCGGGGAATCATTTTCATCTTGTTTTGTTGTAGATTGTGTTGGTAGATTTTGGCTTTGCTTTCCTATTTCCCACCTGTATTTTTTTATGGTGACATTTGGGAAGATTCAAGAACTATGCTGCCACCACCATCTTCTTCCCAGAATTTTTCTGCAAACTATAAATCAAGGGGCAAATCCTGCCTACCACTTGTTTTTCTATAATCTTTAACCTAAGAATGGTTTTTGTGCTTTTAAATAGTTGGAGAAAAAAATCTAAGCATACTATTTCATGGCACATGAAATTAAGATTTCAGTGTCATAAAGTTTTGTTGGCCAGGCCCATTTATTTATATATTGTCTATGGCTGCTTTCATGCTACAACAGAATTGTATTATTATAGGCACAGAGACTATATGGCCCTCAAAGCCAAAATTACTTCTTATCTAGGCATTTTCAGGAAAAGTTAGTCAACCCTGGTCCCCTATAATGTACTTTTTAGTGGCTAAAGAATATTCCATTGTGTGCATATATTATAATGTACTTAACCAAATTCCTATAATTGGGCATTTGGATGAATCCTACATTTTGTTATATAGGCATCATTTCACAGCTAAGTATAAGCATATGTATCAATATTTTGTTACTGTCTTAGGATAAATTGTTACAAACCAGATCACTTGATCAAGGGGTAAGGTATATATATTTTAAACTCTTTGGTTGATACAGGCTGAGTATTCCGAATCTGAAAATCTAAAATCCAGAATGCTCCAAAATCTGAAACTTTGTTTCAGATGTTCAAAGGAAATGTTCATTGCAACATTTTGATTTTCAGATTTTTGTATTAGTGATGCTCAGCCAGTAAGTATATTCCAAAATCTGAAACACTTCTGCTCCCAAGCATTTTGGATAAGGGATACTCTACCTGTATTGACGAATTGTCATACAGAAAGGTTGTACTAATTAAGTTCTCATTAGGGAAACTGGCTAAATAAGTTATGGTGCATTCATGCAATGACATATTATGTAGAGGTTAAAAGGAGGTAGATCACTTTTACTGATGTATAAAAATATGTAACATATGCTGTTAGGTGAAACACCCAGGTTATATATGGAGAGTATGATTCCCTTCTGTTAAGGAAACTGAGGCATTAAAATGTACAAACTTTAATTTTTTTCATAAGAAGCATAGATTACAACTAAGTTGTCCCAGTTCATATACCTACCAGTAGTATATTTGATTGGTTGGTTGACCACACTTTTGCCGATATGATGTTACCTAATTTTAAAATTCTTGCCAAGTTGATAGATGAGAAACAGGTTTTGTACTTTTTCCCAAATTCATTGGCTTGAATGAATTCTTTTGTGAAATTCTTTTTCCATGTCCATTTTTCCTTGTCGTATTCATCTTTTGGTGGTTTGTAAAGCTCTTTACATATTAGATATTAACCCTTTGGTTTCTTATCCATGTTTTCCTTTGTATTGTATTTAGGGTGATTAATGATGTACGAAAGTTTTTTTCCTTTTTTGCAGGCAAATCTTCCTGTATTTTTAGGTGTAAAGAGCCCTTTCTACCTTAGATGTATATAGTTGTTCCTCTACATATTTTTCTAGTACTTATTTGATTTTGTTTTTTACACTGAGATCTTTAATCCGTCAGGGATTCATTCATGTAGGCTATGAGGTAGGGTTTAGCATTGTTTTCAAATGCTTATATTACCCAGTTGTCTTAGTGTCATATATTAAATAAGCCATTTTTTCAAGGTTATATAATTTTTTCAGATTGTTTTTATTAGAAATCTGAACACTTCACGTTTTAAAATCAAGTTTGAGGTGTAATTTACAATAAAATTTACTCTTTTTTGAGTGTTCAGTTAGAAGAATTTCAGCAAATTATATAATTTTGTAACCACTGCTCCAATAAAAATATAGAATATTTCCATCAACTCCTAAAAGCTCTCTTCTCCTTTGCATCAACCCCCTCTGTTAATCCTAGACCCTTGCAAACACTGATCTGTTTTTTCGTCCCTAAAGTCCTACCTTTTCAAGATGTCCTATAAATGGAATCACACAGTACATAGCTTTTTGAGCCTGGCTTCTTTCACTCAGCATAATGCATTTAAGAGACATCCACATTGTTGCATGTGTCAGTAGTTCATTTCCTTTTATTGCTGAGCAGTATTCTATGATATGGTTGTACCAGTTTATTTAACCATTTACTTGTTCAAGGACATCAAAGTTGTATCTACTTTTTATCTCTCATTAGTGAAAATGCTATAAACATTCATGTAGAAGTCTTTGTATGACATGTTTTCATTTCTCTTGGGTAAATACCAGGGAGTAGGATTTCTGGGTCATGTGGTAAGTGTATGTGTTATTTTATAACCAGCTGTCAGACTGTTTTCCATAATGACTGCACGATCTTGTTTTCACCAACAATACATAAGAGATCCAGTTTCTCTGCATTCTTATGAGCACTTGGAATTGTCACTGTTTTTAATTTTAGCCATTCTAGTAGGTGTGTCAGGGTTATATAATTTATTTAGAATAATTAGCATATTTTGAGCAGTATTTCCCAACTTACCCCTCATCTCTTAACTTGCTCAGTCTGTCTTTAATTGCACAACCTGAGGCAGCTCTTGTTTCTGTTTTGCTTTTTTCTATTTTTTTCTCTAAGAACATCAGTGCAGAAAATGAGCTTAGATAGAATCTAATGCAGGATTTGGCAGACTTTTTTCTCTTAAGGGCCAAATAGTAAATGATTTTGTTTTTGCAAGCCATTCAGTCTCTGTCACAACTCAACTCTGCCATTATAACATGAATGCAGGTGAAGGCCATACAGAAACAAAGACAGGCATTCAGCCAGATTTGACCTGTGGACTATAGTTTGCTGACCCCTGGTTTAGTCTAACAACTTTATTTTACAGATGAGAAGACTGAGCTCAGGTTTCTCCCTTTCCTCTGATTTACAAGTAAAAAAGGCAAGGACCAGGATATTGGCTTTTACCATAAGAGACATGCTTGAATTGGGTTCAAGATAAGTGTGCCTTATGTGTAATTTCCTGTCCTAGCTAATGATGTTAGATGAATCTCTTAATATAGGGTCTTTCAGCAATTTCAATTGCAGTAAGACTTTTGGAACATCTTATGTTTTGCCATTCATCTCGATGCTACTTGACATTTTGAGCCTATTATATCTCTGGAGCAATGAGCATTAAGAAAATAAAGGTAATAAAGGTCTCAGCAAAACAGTTGGTCTAAGAAGGGCATGACATCCTTTGATTCTTCTTAATAGATTTTGTTTCCAATGTTTGAAATGTCCAAATTTGTTTATCTGTGGATAGTCATTGTATATCATGCAACTATCCCATGATTCCCCCTCAATTTAATGTTAATTTCTTATTGTTCTGTTTCATTAATCATTCAGATAGATGAAGATTCTTAGGTCAAAAAAGACAAAAACAAAACCCAGGAAGTCATGCACTTGTGGTTCCACGCACACAACAAACCTAAAAATAAGCATTGGCAGTAAGTACTCAGGGAAAGAACGCTATTTAGGAATGTCATTATGTATGTGTGTTTTCCTCCCTTCTAGCACTGGAAGAAGTACGACATCTATGAGAAGCAAATCAAGGAAGAAACCGACTCTGTGGTGCTGATAGAAAACCTGAAGAAAGCCTCTCAGTGATGGAGATAATTTATTTTTTACCTTCAATGTGACCTTGTGAAGATTCTTCCCATTCTCCATTTGTTATCTGGGGACTTATTAAATGGAAACTGAAACTACTGCACCATTTAAAAACAGGCAGCTCATAAGATCCACAGGTCTTTATGTTGAGTCGTGCACCAAAAAACTAAAAATAATGGGCCCTTTGGAGAAGAGCGTGGAGTCATTCTCATTGAATTATAAAAGCCTACAGGCTTCAAACTAGGGGACAAAGCAAAAAGTGATGAAAGCAGTAGAGTTAATCTTATCATGAGTTGTGATAACTTCCTAAGGGATCAATACTTACGTTGTGTAATTTGTAGGGGAACTCATTTTGGGTGCAAATGCTAATGTCAAACTTGAGTCACAAAGAACATGTAGCAAACAAAATTGATAAAATCTAATATCTATTGTCTGGGATCCCATTGAACCATGTTTGTGGCTATTAAAACTCTTTTAACCATCTGGGCCCAGTGCAGTGGCTCACACCTATAATCCCAGCACTTTGGGAGGCCAAGGTGGGCAGATCACTTGAGGTCAGGAGTTTGAGACCAGCCTGGCCAAAATGGTGAAACCTCGTCTCTACTAAAAGTACAAAAATTAGCCAGGTGTGGGTGTATGTGCTTGTAATCCCAGCCACTCGAGAGGCTGAAGCAAGAGAATCACTTGAAGCTGGGAGGTGGAGGGTTGCAGTTACCAGAGATCATGCCACTGCACTCCCGCCTGGACAACAGAGCAAGACTCTGTCTCAAAAACAAAACAAAACAAAACAAAAAAATCTCTTAATAGTCTGGAGCCATCATTTCCTCTGACAGCATTTTCCTCCACTTTGAAAGCCCCAGAAATCAGTGTTGTCCATGATGATAACAACTACAGAAAAGGCAGAGGCAGCTTCTTTGCCATTGTAGATTGTTAAGGGCAGTGGAGGTAGAATGCTCCTTGGGTATTAGAGTTTCAATTATGAAGTCTCTAATGATGTATTGTCTTCACCTCTGCTACTCAATTAGTATTTACTGTGTCTTTGGCTTGTGCTAGGCCCCCAGGTGTGAAGCACAGACCCCTTCCAGGGTTCACAGTCTATTTGGGACTCCTCAGTTCTTACCACTTTTTTTTTTTAATCTCCACCAGCCATTTTTCAGACCTTTTAACTCCACAGCTCCCACACTGATTTCCCCCTTTTGCATTCTCCCTCCTTCCCTTTCTTGTAGTCTTTAGACTTTCATTGGAAATTAGGATGTAAATCTGCAGGATACCTAGAGGACACAGGATAATTTGTGTCTCAGTTAAGTGTGAGTAAACCAAGAAACAACGACTACTTCTTGCATATTTTGTAACTTCTGTGTGAGGGTTTTCAGCATTGATATTTATCTATGCATTTTCTAAACAGAGATGAGGTATTATCTTCACTTAGAACTTTGCTATTTGAGAAAAAAGAATAGTTGAATCTTCTCTTTCTTTACCAGATGGGCCCAGGGTTTCTCTTTTCTCTGCCATAAATGATTAATTAAATAGCTTTTGTGTCTTACATTGATAGCCAGCCATCCAAGGCTCTGTTTATATTTTTGGGGGGCATATGTTGGGTTCCATTCTCACCTATCCCACAACATAGCCATATATATATATACCCTCTATTCTTCCTCCAAATTTAAAGAATTATGGGAAATGAGAGACATCTCCCCACACCCCATTTCTCTCTTCACACACAGACTCGTATTACTGGTAGGAACTTGAGAACTTTACATCACAAGTTCTCCCAACATTCACCAATGATATTAATATGATGATGCTACTTGCAATTTCTGCTCCTAGGGGAGGGGAGATAAGAAACTCTCACTCTCTACAGGTTTGGGTACAAGTAGCAACCTGATTCCATGGCCGTGGAGAAGCATGGTGCCCTGCGTTCTCTGAGGAAGTTAGGTTTCATGACAATGACAGATGTAAAGTTGTTTCCTCCTTGTGCTTTTATTCTTGAAGTTAGATTGAGGCTGGGATACAGGTATGGTAGCTGTTCCACTTTGTTCTGCTGTTGTCTAGAAAAAATATTTTGTTTTCCTGTCTAGGAATGAGATTAATTCCTTTCCAGGTATTTTATAATTCTGGGAAGCAAAACCCATGCCTCACCCTAGCCATTTTCACTGTTATCCTCTTTAGATGGCCATGAAAAGGATGCTGTGAAATTCCCAAGGAGCACCGATGTTGACAGTCATGCAGTCTGGGAGTGGGGAAGTGATCTTTCATTCCCATCCTTCTCTTTTAGCAGTAAAATACCTGAGGGAAAGGGAAGTTATGGGAATACCTGTGGTGGTTTTATAGTTGCTAAAAAGTGATCCCTAGGTCTTGGGAGCTCTTGGAGTCTTCTGTGGGAAACTAGTAGGCTCATTTACTATTTTAGGTCTAACCTGTGTGGATTTTTTTCCTTACATACCTAAGCAAACCCGCTGTCAGGATGGTCATTCTTATTCTTTCATTCAGTTAAGTTTTTTCCTTCATCTGGGCACTAAAGTGTTATGCGAAACAATGTTAACATTTTTGGTAGTCTTCAACCAGGGATTGTTTTTGTTTAACTTCTTATAGGAAAGCTTGAGTAAAATAAATATTATCTTTTTGTATGTCACCCAAATGTTTTCCTTTGGTCTTATTTTGGGGAAATAGTGGGAGGCAGAGAAAATTGGAGTTAAAAGAAGAAACATGATGAAAAAATTCCAAGCCAGCGATGTTATCTTACAACCATTTATCATGAGCTTCCTTGATGTTCTGGCTGTTCTGGTGTGCCTATGTTGTCTGATAAGGGTATGAATGCACTTACTTTAATATTAATTTAGCTTTTGTAAGCAGCACCTAAAGGGACTTAAGTATTCAATAAATTGTAGTTATGATAATTAATGGAAATGGAGAGTTGGTTCTTTCTAATATTAAGCGAAAGTGGAGTACAGTATGATTACTGTAGTGATATACATGATGTGCAACCTCTAGTCACAAGGTAAAATATTAGCAGGTTAGATTGGAAACTAAGGAAATCAGTTTTCAATAGCTATCCTTTTAAAAGCTGATAATATAGTTTCATATTTTCTATAACTACAGCAAAATGGTTTTAATGTCACAGAGGTTTTCTTTCCCTCATTTGTGTTAAGCTCCAGGAGTGTGTCTTCAGCCAGACCACATTTGCTAATTACTCTGAGTCTTTATAGAATCCAAACCTTAGGGTAAGAGTGAAGGCGCTGATCTTGGTCAAGTTATTTCTTTAACTATCTAGAATCATCCAGGAAGATTCTGAAAATCCATTTCCAGGTAAGTATAGCTTTTTTGTTGTTCTTGTTTTAAAGTAAGAAACTTCTTTTCTGATTCTTAACACATCAACACTGAGTATTATAACAGAAAACATTTAAAATTGAGGACCCCCTTGAGATTGTAAATTTTTGCGAGATCTATGGAAAATAAATTCCTGGAACCACAAACATGACCACTTTGTCTCAAGGGGAGAGGAACCAGAATGATCTAAGCACATTTGCTTTCCAGAGTAATTTACCATTTCATTGTTTCCATGAACTCTTGCTCTATTAAAGGTGTAACTTATGCTCACATGAATAGCACATTATGCCACTAGGTTATTAGTGGTCTTAAAGCAGGGGGACAAGAACATTTATTTCAGAGACTATTTTAAACCCTAAGGGTTAGATCAAAGTTTTTTGTAAATACTGTAGCTAAATCTTGTTATGTTTTTACTTTAAGCAAGGGAGGAGTTTTACTGACATTTGGATGTGCTCGATATTTTTGACATCAGTCCCCAAGATAATTTCTTCCTGAAGGTTTTTTGGCTTTTAACTATCTTTCCTAATGATCACATTTTTAGTTTACCGCTAGCAACAGGAAAATATTTAACTGCTGGTTTTCAGCATTTATTGGGTAGACCATTATACGAAAAGAGAAGATTAACAGTTTCTGAGTGGCTACTATGTGCCAAGTTACATGTGTTATTTCACTTAATCTCTATGCTGGCCCCATGAGATAGGTTGTGGTGTTTAACTGAGACATGGAATGACTGAGCTATGTGTGCAAGATCACATAGCTAGTAAGTGACTAAGACAAAATTGAGAAGCAAGTCAGCCTGACTTTAAAGCCTGTATAATATAGTCAGTGATATATTTACTTGTCCCCAAAAGGCAGTTACCTAAAGAAAAAAAATCTTATTTTATATTATCTCCATATTGCTTATCAACTGGAAGATTTCTGATTTTAAATCATTAATTGCAAACTGAGCATTTTATAGTGTCTTTTTAAGAGATTCATTTGTGCATTCATTCTTCCACGAGCTAGGCAATGTGGTTTGTAACAGGAATTTAGAAGTAAATAAGATTTGGCTTAGTATCAGGTGGTTAGTTAAGGAAAGGCTCTTTTGTATAGGGGAAAGAAACCTGGATTCGCATTTAGGAGTTCCAAATGAATGTGGGCAGTTAAGATTCTCTGTCCGGGTCTGTTTCCCCATCTGTAAAATGAAGATGTTAGACAGTGATGTATAGTCCCATCTGTGACTCATAATAGTGACCACAGGTTGTGGAGTTCATTTGGAAGTGAGAATCTTTGCTATAAACACTAGCTCTAGGCATCTCTAGGCATCAGTGTTCTCATCTGTAAATTAAGAAGGCTGGACTAGATTAGATCTATTAATTTTGATACCCAATAAAGGCTAAGATGATGATTTTTGTTTTACAAATCAAGAAAATACCTCTTAACTTTTGCTATAGGATATAGCTAGCTATTAGCAGAAACTGCCAAAAATAAGCAGAGAAGCAGGCCCTTTAATGCATCGGGTAGAACAAAGGAATTAATACATTAGATGAGATCCATGATCTACCCAAATCCGGATTTTCACAAGGTCCCAGCCATGATTGTGTCTAATAAATATTTCTGGATATACATGTATGTTACTTTAAAAGTCAAAGAGTATTATAGGGCTTATCGTTTAAAAAAAGCAGTCTCCTGCCCCGCTCCTCTTTACTCCTGATTCCTGCTCCTAAAAAATATATCAACACCCTAATTCTGGGAGCTGTGACTATGTAACTTTACATGGAAAAGGGAACTTTGTAGATGTAACTGTGTTCAGGCCTTAAGACAGGTTTTCCTGGATTATCTGGGTGGGCCCAATATCAAGCCCTTAAAAGCAGAGAAATTGGCTGCTTTGGCTGAAAGCAGAAGAAGGAGTCAAAACACAAAAAGGGCTCAAAGTGCTGTTGCTGACTTGAGGATGTAAGGGGCCACATAGGAAGTGTGAGAAGGAACTGGGTACTACCAGTAACTTGAATGAGCCTAGATGGAGATTTTCTCCCAAAGCCTCCATGTAGCTGGCATACACCATAATTTGGGCCTTATGAGACCCTAGGCAGAGAGCACAGCCACACCGTACTGAACTTCTGACCTACAGAACTGTGATATAATGTTTGTGTTATTTTAAACTATGTTTAACATGTTTTACCTGTATCATTTTCTTTCTTTTTTTTTTTTTTTTTGAGATGGAGTTTCGTTCTTATCACCCAGGCTGGAGGGCAGTGGTGTAATCTTGGCTCACTGCAACCTCTGCCTCCTGGGTTCAAATGATTCTCCTGCTTCAGCCTCCTGAATAGCTGGGATTACAGGTGCCTTTCACCACACCCAGCTAATTTTTGTATTTTTAGTAGAGTTGGGTTTTCACCATGTTGATCAGGCTGGTCTCGAACTACTGACCTCGTGATCCGCCCACCTCAGCCTCCCAAAGTGCTGGGACCATAGACGTGCACCACCATACCCCGCCATACCTGTTTCTTTTGGTATATAACCCTTTACTTTTGAATAACACCCTAACATTGCAATTTCTTATCTTTATTTAGCTTTAAAAATGATCTAACTTCTGTTGAAGGTGAGGAATTAGCTTGCTTTTATGCCTCTCACACACATGTGGACACATACATTTCTCTTCCACAAATACAAACATTTTGGCTAAAATAGTCAATATTTGTATTACATTTACATAAATGTTGCTTGTGGTTAACCCATGTACTGTACCATTAATTATATTTCCTTTGTTTTCCCTATATTGTCTTTCTTTGATTTGTTTTTTTATGTACCTGTCATGAGTTCAGTCCCAAACTTTCTCACAGAACCATAAAACTTCACTCAGTATGATCAAACATATTAGGTAATCGATGAGTTTCATGTATTTTTGGGGAGGCAGGCCTCTTTAGAGTTTGTTGCCCTCCTGATCCATCCTGAAATGGTTGTTCTGTAGGCCTTGCACCCAGCCTGCCGTCCTGGGAATTACCTCCACTTCTAGCTTCTGTTTCCTGCATCCCCAGTTGTCTCCCTTCTTGGATTATGCCCTGGTTTTGATGGACCACACCATTTACTAACTTCCTTAGAAAGGTTGCATGGGAGGTGATTTTATTTTATTTATTTATTTTTTCAAACAGGGTCTCATTCTGTTGCCCAGGCTAGAGTACAGTGGCATGATCATTGCTCACTGCAGCCTCAACCTTCCGGGCTCAAGTAATCCTCTCACCTCAGCCTCCCAATCAGCTGGGACTGTGGGTACATACCACCATGCCTGGACAAGTTTTATTTATTTTATTTTATTTATTTAATTTTTTTTTTGAGACAGGATCTAGGTTTATCATGCAGGCTGGAGTGCAGTGGTGCAATCTCGGCTCACTGCAGCCTCCGCCCCCTGGGTTCAAGCAATTTTCCTGCCTCAGCCTCCTGAGTAGCTGGGATTACAGGCATGTGCCCCCATGCCTGGCTATAATTTTTATTTTTTTGTAGAGATGGGGGTCTCCCTGTGTTGACCAAGCTGGTCTTGAACTCCTGGGCTCAAACAATCCTCCCACTTTGGCCTCCCAAGGTGCTGGTATTACAGGCATGAGCCACATGCTCCCAGCCAAAGTGATTTTAGTAAAATCATTCTGTGTCTAAATATAATCTCCACACATGATTAAAATTTTTGCTAGGTGAAGAATTACTAATTGGAAACAATTTCCTCTGAGAATGTTGAAAGCATTATTCCAATGTGTTCTTGCTTCTAGTGTTGCTTTGGAAAAGTCTGATTCCCTATTGATTTCGAATTTTCTATATGTAACTTGTCTGCAAGATTTTCTCTTGGCCTCTTTCTCTTGGTGTTTTAAATTTTAATGATATGCCTTATTGTGGATCTTCTTCCATTTACTGGGCTGGACTTTGTGAGCCCTTCAATTTAAAAATGCATGCTTCATTTTTGAGAGATTGCTTTCTATTATTTCTCACATAATAGCTTCCCTTCTATTTTCTTTATCTCTAGGATTCCTATTAGTTGTATATTGGACATCCTGGACTGATTCTCTAATTTTCATATCTTTTTCTCCCATGTTCCATTTATTTGTCTTTTGATTCTGCTTTTTGGGAGATTTTCTTAACTTGATCTATTTGAGGCTCAGTCCTCATCTGTAAAATGTTGATAAAAGGACCTACCACATAGCGTTGTTGTAAGGTGTCAATGAAATAAAACATGTAAAATGCTTAGCACAGTGAACTTCAATAAATGGTAGTTGTGATTGCACATACTGTTATTCTGGAACCAATTTCTTCTCCTTTCTCATGTGAAAATAACAATCC